TTTCCCTACTCACAGAGCTTATTGTATGTTCACGCACTATTCACTCGCTCTTATTTACTCATGCATTTGTTCATTAGTTTTTTTAACTATAATTTGCCAAGTACTATCCCAGGCAGTTTCATTTGATAATTACTATTTTATGTTTTCATTCTATTTCTACAAGCAAAGTGTAATATACTAATTAAAAGGATTACAGTGAAACCACCAGATTATTATGTTTGAAGGTAAGTTTATAGACACAATAGAGAAGGTACAGGAAGCAAATAAAATAGCACAGCATTCAAAGGAAAATGCTAATTAAGGTTGTTTGTTTTGAATCTTCATCTCCCTAATCAACTGTGAGATCCTAATTATGAGTTTGTGGCCCTCAACCTACATCCTAAAATAATGCTTAACTCTCAGATGCTTGACAATTTGCAGAGCTATTTTACAAAAATCTTACTGTATGAAACAAAGTATGCAATTCTGCATAATCTAATTGTATTGTTGCCCTCCGTACCATTTAGGGGCATTTAAGCAGAGACTTAACTTAAGCAGAGAAAGAATTGATTGAATGTATACTAGGTTCTCTACAGAATCAGAAGGCAGCTCTGAGACCTGGTCCCACAGGAGCACCTTCATGAGCCCATGGACAGGTCTTCAAGCATCTTGCAAGGCCGCCACAACCGTTCTGATCCCCAGGTTTCAAGGTCCCAAGAGAGAGAATTAAGAGGCTCAGCATGATCTCTCGTCGCTGAACTAGTGGCACCGAACTATATCCAACTGGGAAGAGATTATTCCCCTCACGTAAACTGGAGTGCAATTACCAAAAAAGCAAAAACAATCAAGGGAAAAAGTGCCTTCCTGATGTCGTTCCTGAGACCTACTCACTCCTCCTCTTACGTATGCAGAGGTTCTTACTTATTATATCCCTTCCTGTGCTTACTCATGCTGGGACTGAATCATGTTGCTTACCTTCCCATCCCCTCCACGGGCCTACGAATCCCGGAGCTGTGGCTGCAGCAGCGGTGTCATCTACACAATGGTGTCCTGGAGACCCCTCAGTGTACCATTTCAAAATTAGTTCACAAATATTTTCAGATGTGAACTTAAGCAAAAGTAAATGCCTTTTTCTGTTCCACTACGAATAATTTTTATGAATTGTTCATAGTTTTATCTAATATGAAAAATATACAAATGAATATAGGAAGACATAAATCCTTAGTTGCTTTCTTATCTTCTCTAAATCTATAAAATGCTCACATAATTTTCGTCATTTCAGTAGGAAATCTTTTATATTAAAGTGAAACACTAATATAATTTTTTTCAGAGCTGATTTCAGCTAACAGTCTCTTCAACAGTTTAGCTGACTAGCTCCCCACCTGGTATAACTTTTTGAATATGACTAAACATAAAGCACTCAGTTGACTGTAACTCAACTAATAACTGTCTTAGGAAAAAAATTGCTCTCAGACTTTTCTAACTTGAATCTGGGAAAATAATTCCAGAAAACTACCATTATAGAAAATATATTACTAAATCTGTCAAAGGTTCTCTTACAAACTATATACTATACTATATAATAAAATATAACAGATTCAGATTATTTCATTGCAAGACCAGGAATAAGAGTCAGATACCGTAAAAAGCAACAGTGTGGCCATACAAATGGAATATTATTCAGTCATAAAAAAAGGTACAACATACTGACATGGGCTACAACATGAACCTTGAAAATAATATGCTAAGTGAAAGATGCCAGGCACAAAAAGCCATATATTATATAATTCCACTTTTATAAAATGTCCAGAAGAGACAAATCCACAGGGAGGCTGGTGGTTGCTAGGGCTGGAGAGAGTAGGAAATAGAGAGACTCTTAGTGGAAATGGGTTTCTTCCTGGAGTGATAAAAATGTCCTACCAACAGAGTGGTGATGGCTGCGCAACTCTGTGAACACACTAAAAACCACTGAATTGTACACTTTGAAAAGATGGATTTTATGTGAATTATTTCTCAAAAATTAAAAAAAGGGGAGAAGAGGCTTAGTGAGAGATTTGGCATGAAAATAAATTGTTCTACAGGCCAAGAAAGGCACAAATTTGGTATTTATGTCAAGGCAAAGACAAAGAATGGGAGAAAAGAGCATAGGAAAATATACCCAATAATTACCTCCTTAGAGTCTAAACATTTTTTCAAAAGGCTTTTATTATATTGCTCATATCGTGAGACAAATAATTTTTGCCCTCTAAGTACTAAAAAAGTTGCTTGCAGCCTTTCTTAGTTCTGTCTGTGAATTGTGCAACAGTCTCAGCTGCAAATCAAGCAATTTTGTTATGTTGCAGCACTTCAACTCACTTGAGCTTTGTAAGAATTTTTCTTTATTTGGAATACAAGCAAGGCTGGCAGACCATGCCAGGATATAATATCCCAACCATCTATACTTGCCCCACTGAAACTCAAAGACTTCCCTGGATTTTCTTTTCCTCATTCTCTGAATTTTAATCTGTGTGTTTCTAGTCTTTGAGTTAACTGAGAAGCCTTTTCGTTCTGTGAACTAAGCACATTCCTTCAAAACCACAGGCATCCACTTTTCATTGGATTTTTAACAATCACCACATTGGCATGCAGGTAAAAAAAGAGCTGTTTGCCTTTCCCACCCCACCTCTGGTTACCTCAGGGAACCCCACTTCAATGGAAGAGGAGAAAAGGCTAATTTCTGGCGTTCTAACCACGTCCCGGTATCCCACACTGTTCCGAGTGACCCGTGCTCTCCCCTGCACATTTCTACACTCCAGCCTTTGAGTCGAGTTAGTTCTTGCCTTCTGGAAGGTGGAGTTTCCAGAGGAGTTCCCCTAGTTCTGAACAGCCTCCTTAGGAGATTCCTCTCTGCAGCCTAATGAGTTTACGGATTAAACTATTTTCAAGGATTGAATAGGATGGACAAGCATGAGAGCACTGTAAACTGAGAACTAGGACTTTATTCTTTGTTCCACATGCAGCATGAATCACTCTTAATAAATATTAACAAAACTGAGTCAGTACCATTATCGAAAAACAGCTATAAAAGGTTTTCAAATTTGCTTTGTTATTCCTGTCAACACAATGCCCTACATAAACTACTGAATTACAGCCCAATGTAAGAGAGTAAAGAATAAGAAAAATTAAGAATAAAAGAAGTAAAAGACCTCCTGGTTTGTGAGAAAGGGCAGAAGTCTTTTTTCTGCATTGTGTTATAAGAGAAGATGTAACTGCAAAAGGAAGTGAAAGTTAATAGTTTTAGCAAATTAAAAAGCATCAGTTTTGGCTGAAGCACAAAAGAGCCAGGCCTCCAACTCTGATGGCCACATTATTAGTACTATTCCTAATAATAATGGATCTAATATACAATAGAATTATTGAAGAAAACTCAAAATTGCTGTGTTTAAAAAACCAAAAACCTGAATAGAAGCCAGAGTACATTAATGCAGATATCTGTGTTCCTCATGTTCCTTTTCAGATTAAGCCCATTAAGGAAATAGAATTACTTTCCTATATTTCCTCATTATGATCAGTAGAATCTTATGGACTTGTGGCTTTCAAGCATAATTAAGTGATTTGAGTTCCTGGGCAGGAAGAGGAGTGGAGCTATATAAACATAAAACAAAGAGCCATTACAATTCAGTGATCAAACCATTAAATATATACTTTACTGTGATAAAGTGTACCATTGTTTTCTCATCTCCATAGTATACTGTTTTGCAAAGCTGAGAAATAATGGGCTTATTCGGCTTTCAGAACTAAAAGATCATTTTCAAAGTTTGTAAAGCTCACTGAACTAACCACACTAATGACAGAGTGGACTTGATTTGTTTTTAAAAATGTTTTCAAGTTTGAGCATAACAGTTACGGTGGTTTAAGAAGTGAGTATTTAAATTAGAAGCAATGTCCTATGACACCCTTTTTACCAAAATATTTTCTACCATTTGTGAAAGAAAAGAGATAAGAGTAACCTAGGATCCTGGAAACTGTGGAAGGGTAAGTTAAGGAGTGACTTAGTCCAACATAATTTTATAAAATAAGTACAGAGACAAGTGAGTAAATTACAGCAGGAAGACTTTAATATAGCAGCTGACAGAACTTTCTGGCCATAAGGGCTGTAAAAAAACTGCAAAGACGTATTATGTGTCTTTCTTTGGAGACTAAAAACAACACAGGTAATTCTTCGGTTAGATGAAAGATTACCTAAAAAGAAGAGAACTGGCTTAGATAACGTCTTGAGCTTCCCATGCTTTTTTCACTAGTAGGGAGAAAAAAAACACACTCTAGACCAACCTCTATGTAAAACCCTTGGCCTGCCCACCTGAGTCCTTTGGGGACTAAGGAGTTTGAATAGCTGAGTTTTCTGTAGAACTATGTGCGTGTATCATTACAAAAATTAAAATTCTGGACAAAAATATTACTAAAAACATACTTAAAATCCCTGATCTTTTTTTCTCATTTCAGATTTCAAAGTTGTTTTTAATGAGTCATCTAACTCATTATAGAAATTAAGAAGAAAAAGAAACAGCCATAATCCTACCACCCAGAAATCACCAGGTAATATTTATTTATGTATGTAAGCACGTAGCATTTATTTATTCATCTTAACCCCTTGTCACACCACCGATTGAAGCAAAACAACAGGACTTGCTGCCATTTCACCCAAAAGCGGTGTTTTTACTTTGCCCCTTCTCGACGGCTCAGTGGGTCATTAGAGAAAGGCCCAATGAATGCTTTTCAAAGGGGCCAGGTACTATTTTCTGTTTCTTGAATTATCTCCCAATGTATATGGGACATAATGGGATAAAATAAATACAACAAAATAATGAGATCTCAGTCTACATGAGTATTTTCTAAAGCCTGGGGTTATGCTCAACATTCTATATACATAGTCTCATTTAGTCCCCATAAGCCAGTAATATAGGTGTTATTACTCGTATTTTAGAGATGAAGAAGACAAGACTTTGGGACTTTATTAAGGACATGTAAGAAGCCACAGAGCCTAAATTCAAACTCTTTTATTCAGCTCCAAAGACTGGCCTCTTAATTTTTTCATAGGATTAAGAGCCCCCATACATGCATCCTTTATACACACTTAATGATTTTTCAAACTTTCCTGTCAGGTTCTTATCTTTCAGTTTTCAAAGAAGATATATTTCCGTCTTAGCATTTCTCCACCACCTTTCCAATCGCTGCTTTAAATTTGTATAAGCTCGAAAACATCGGTAACAGACAAGCTCACTGACATCTTGTGAAACACAGAGACTTCCAGCAGGTGAAGTGTATGTTGATTTTGTGATACTATATTATTTCCTATTCACAGTTCTGATCTGGGTTTGAGACATGAAAGATATGATAGTTAAGTCTAAACATGGATCAGTCAGTCCTGAAAAATCAGCTTACTAATAATCCAAATGTTTTAATAAGAATTTAGATAGTAATAGATAAAAAGGCATATTACCCAGAGTCAAGAAACTTAATCATACAGGAAGGTGGAACAGTGACTGCATCTGCAGAAAATATGTTCATAAACAAGCCACACACACAAAATCAAATATGCCATAGACCCAACAAGGCAGAGTTGTCCATAAGGGTTGGAATGTTTACACAAGAAAAGAGGCTTACTCTCTATCCTGTACTAAAAAGTGAGCCCAGGTTCAAAAAGGTGTCAGGAGACTGCTCCCAACTTACTCTGGCCCACAAAGGTGGAGAAAGCAACACATCAGAAATAATGGGAGAGAGGCCAGGACGGCGTGATACATGAAAGACTGACACATGCTTTCTTACTTTGATTGGAGTAAGAACAGTGTATATAAAGTGGAAGAAGGGTTGCCCTGGCGTCAGTGCTGCTTATCTTCCACCAAATATGGACAAATAAGAAGCTTCACAGAGCTATTTTTATCATCTAAGCTTGGCAGGTATACTGCTTTAAAACTGGATGACATATGCTACTATTTCATGTAATATATAAGGTTTCCTTTTGTCAGATTGTTAACAACAAAGCTTCATCAATCAAGTTATGACTGTAATTAAAAATTGTTTCTGATTATAGTTTGCTATCTGATATAGGTATTTTGCAACTGTAGAACATACACCTTTGGGAAAACAGTGACCCACATGCCTGCAGGGGGCTGATGGGTAGCAATTTCAACTGTGCTTTTCTTTCAATTTTCCTGATGGGTCTAGCTTGTAAGAAAAAGAAGGAACATGATGTCACTCTGACCTGAAAACCTATTTCTCAGGAGGCAAAGCACTGATAGAGCCTAGAGTGCAGCTTAGAGTCTGATGGTTCAACAGGCCTTCCTAAGTCGCCCCACTGGGATGAGACTCTTGGAATAAGGACCTATGTTTAAGACTGAATCCCCATTTCTACTCTTCCATATGACTTTTCTCCATGAGCCTACTTTTCTCCTTAAGTCTCCCTGTGTCACTGCACTTGATCATGCCGACCTGACATATCAGCACCTGAGTTTTTCGGGCCAATAGCTCATAGTCGCCTACTAAAACAACTAAATCAAAACAAAAAACTCAGTTTGTAAGGAAGAAGGGACATTTGTCTCAAATGTAGTAAACATGATCTCCCTTTTCCTCTTTATACTTTATTCAAACAAAAAATATAAAAAGTGACTGTCATTTTTATCCACATAATTAAGAATCTATTATACTACTCCTGCATGCATTGTTTATAAATGCAACCGACAGCATGTTTCTTAGATCCTTTGGGTACTAGGGGGGAATACAGTCCTCGATAAAGTGCAATATATGATCACAAAAATTTGAATACTAAATATTCAAGCCCTGGCTGGTGTAGCTCAGTGGATTGAGCACGGGCCTGCGAACCAGACAATCGCGGTTCGATTCCCAGTCAGGGCACATGCCTGGGTTGCACACCAGTTCCCTGCAGGCCAGTTCCCAGCAGGGGATGCACGAAAGGCAACCATACATTGATGCTTCTCTCCCTCTCTCCTTCCCTTCCCCTCTAAAGATAAATAAATAAAATATTTAAAAAAAATATTCAAGCTGATTAGCCACATCAATGCAAACTTAAGCAACGTGGCAAGTACTTATCTTTGCACACCAAGAAAAATGCAGGAGCTGTCCAAAAAATATAGTACTTTAAAAATGTTATATTTATTTCCAACTATCCTGTGGCTATTAGCATCCATGGGTTGCTTTCGAAGGTCAAAAACATTAAATTGTCTAGAAACATTCAGAATGGTAAGAGTATTATACTGTGAATTTTATTTTCACATTTTGGTCAATAAGGAGGAAAATAACAAAGTTAAGCAGTCAAAAGAAGTACTAAAGAAATAATAGTCATTCATATATACAGATAATATGAACACTAGAGATTCATTTTCCATTGATTCAATCTTATTTACACATTTAAAATATAAAATGCATGTTAATTTGTCAAGGTGACCACATTTAGCACCAGGAAAGGAACTTTATGTTAGCCTTTGAACATGACCTCACATCTTGTCATAGGAAAAGAACTGTCATAGAATCTGTATGTAGTTATCACCATCAATTAATAAAAAAAGTTTTAAAAAGTAACTGCTGCATATTATTAATTCACAAGCACTTCAAAGGGAATTAATCTTAAAACTGGGACTACTTGATATTGCGCACAACTCTCCTGCAGTGGTTTGTTTTCATCTCCTCCAATGCTTGTTCCAACTGCTGAACCAAATGGAGCAGGGTGGCTGGGTCTGTCTGTAGAACTTGAGTGTTTCGATCCCCATTCTGGTTAAGGTGTAGCTTTATAGTCACTGATGGTTTTATCTGTTGCCTGAGGCTTCTGCTTGCAAGCTTGATTTAAAACGGAATGAGAACATAATAACTGTTTAATATTCATGCTGAATATATAACATTTGTAGTTACCTATACCATATAAAAAAACAAATTTCAGACAAATCACATACTTCAAAATAAAAAGGAAACTTTAAAACTTTTTTCAATAGATTTTATTTATTTTTAGAGGAAAAGAAGGGAGAAAAAGAGAGAAACACTGACATGAGAAACTTTGATCGGTTTACTCTTGCATGTCCCCAACTGGGGGCCTGGCCCACAACCCAGGCATGTACCCTGACCGGGAATCGAACTGGTGACCCTGCAGTTTGCGAGACAATGCCTAACCTACTGAGCTACACCAGTTAGGGAATAAACTTTAAAGCTTTGGGGAAGAATAAAAAAACAAATGAGAATATACATGCAAACTTATAGTGTGGAAGGATTTATCTTTCTTTTTCTTTCTTTTAAATATTTTATTTATTTATTTTTGGAGCGAGGGGAAGGGAGGGAGACAGAGATGGAGAGAAACATCGTGTGAGAGATCAGTTGCCTCTCACATGCCCCCAACCAAGGACCAGGCCTACAACCCAGGCGTGTGCCCTGACTAGAAATTGAAACAGTAACCTTTCAGTTTGTAGGCTGGCACTCAATCTGCTGAGCCACACCAGCCAGGGCTAGAAGGATTTCTTTTTAAATATTTCATTCTTTTTTTTAGAGACAGGGGAAGGGAAGGAAAAAGAAAGAAAGAAACATCAATATGTGGTTGCCTCTTGCATGCCATACGCCAGGGACCTGCCCTGCAATCCAGGCGTGTGCCCGGGTTGCAACTGGGAATCAAACCAGCGACCCTTCAGTTCACAGTCTGGTGCTCAATCCACTGAGCCACACCAGCCAGGGCCTGGAAGGATTTCTTAAACATGATATAAAAGGCACAAAGCATAATGAAAAAAGCAACAAATTTAGCTACATTAAAATTAACTTTTCTTCGAAGGATACCTAAAGATGGAACAAGCCATAAAATGAGAGAAGTTATTCGGTAACCCATGTAACCCAAAAAAGACTAGTATCCAAGAATGCATGAACAACTGCTCTGATTTAAAAGGAACAAAACCAAGAGAAAAAACATGCTGAAGACCTATAAGCACTTAATAAAAGAAGTAACACAGATAAAAATAGGCAAATATGTTCAACTTTATTAGGAATAAAAAATGGCCAATTAAACCATAAAATACTGTTTTGCACATACCAGAATAGCATGAATTAAAAAGCAGTCCATATGGAGCACTGCAAGTTACAGAACGGAAACTCTTGTCTGCTGAGGTGAGAGTGACGAGAGAATCACTTTGGAAAACAATATATACTTCCAGTAATTCCACTCTTTGGTACATGTCCTAAACTCTTATACATATACATGTATTCATAATAGTATTTGTTGCTAAGAGTCAAAAATCAGAAACATCTTAAATATTCTTTAACAGAATGGATACACTGAGAATATTCATACAATGTAATGCTTATTGGCAGCACAAAGAAATACACTACAGCAAAATGAATTGTCATGGATAAATCTAAAAAAAAGTTAAATGGAAAAAGCAAGTCACAGAATAATACATAAAAATCTAAAAAATACGCTTTACTGAAAAAAAAAAGTGTGTAAAAACACCCAACTATAAAGTAAAAAATAACAAAATTCAGGGTGGTGACTTGGAAAGGGACACTCAGTGGTACTGGTTGTGTTCTAGTTCTTAAGCTTGGCCATGGGTACTTGTTTTATTATTTTTATTTAAATTGAGGACCTATAATCTTTTGTTTATGTGATACATCCCAAAACTTTTAAAAAAGTACTATTTGTTAAAAGAAAATAACCACTAGAAACATGTCCAACTTGGAAATGATGGAATTTAACCCTAGCACCAGAGTGTGCTCTCTTACAAGGAATCAGCACCTCCTTGAATAGCTAATTTGATTCAAGTCTAGGCCTGGGATTGTACAAGATGAACCTGAAATATTGTGTTATACAAGAAAGCAAGGTTGTTATCTAAAACCACTGGAGCAGTGTCAAAGGACAAGAAGCCAAATTGAAGAAAGAGATTTCTAGTGAGTAACAAATCTAAACAGAAAATTTTAGGATTACCTTACTACCACAAAATAGAATACCCTGACTAATAACTTCTTCCAATTAATTCTAGGTCATTTGTGCATCCAAAAGAACCCAAGATACTGATCCAAAGCTGAGATTTTGTCTTAAAATAATTTGGAAACAATAGATCAATCCCTTTGGGTGAGGTAGTCCCCAAACATAAAATATGTATTTGCAAGGTAAATTATCTCTGTAAGATTATTTCTCTAGTACACAAGATTATAGAAAGGCAAATGGAAATAAATATTACTAAAAATATTACTTATTTTTCCCCCTGTATCTATACTGACAGATAGGGGCCAAACCTATCTAGATATGCAATTAAGCCATGAATTTTTTTGTCAAAAGGCTTAAGGTTGCTCAATCTATCCTCCTATCCTCCCATTTTAGATAAGCAGGATATCTAAAAAACCTTTACAGATAAATACCTGTACCATTCTTTAACACTTCCAGATAAAGACTACATAATATCCCCAACAGACACCTAGTAAAATAAAATTAGGCCTAATTTTTTCTCAGAAAGAAACTGGAATGACAGGCAGCAGTACTATTAAAAGATAAAGAACAGTATCCCATAAAGTTCTTGATGTGAACTTATTTTTAATGGGAATAAAATTCTGTCCTTCTTCCTGTACAAATAACTTCCTGTACAATAGCAACTTTAAATAAATCAACCCTAAAAGTAACATCCTCTTCCACCAATCTCAGATGCATTTAACTTAACTGATGCTATTAACAAAGGAGTTAATTATACTTGCAATTTATTAAGTACAGGACCTGTTTCTATTAGAAACTAAACTATGATGACTAATTTACTTCCCATAAGCAACTACACGATAATTTGATGGTAACTATCCATTCATTACCAGTCTCCATGAGACAAATCAGTTACTCGAAAATGAAAGGTTCAGCCCTGACTGGTGTGGCTCCAATGGACTGAGCGCTGGCCTGCGAGACAAAGGGTTGCTGGTTCAATTCCCAGTTAGGGCATATATTTGGGTTGCAGGCCAGGCCCCCTAGTAGGAGATGCATAAAAGGCAACCACACATTGATGTTTCTCTCCATCTCTTTCTCCCTCCCTTCCTCTCTCTGTATAAAAATAAACAAATAAATAAATACTCTTAAAAAAAAAAAAGAAAGAAAAGAAAGGTTCTATATCCTGTTATTAGTTTCCTAGTCTTTTAGCTGGTTTCCATTTGACAAGTCTTCCTCCCATAAGCAGAATAATCCACTCCAGTTAAAAATCTCTTGCAATAATTCCCTGACCAGTGTGGCATGGAGGTCCATCCACGGTTGGCTGGACATCATCTTACAAAGCAAACGGTCACCAGTCTGATTCCTGGAGAGGGCACATGCCTGGGTTGTGGGTTTAGTCCCTTCATGAGAGGCAACTAATCGATGTTTTTCTCCCTTTCCCCCTCTCTAAAAATAAATAGATAAATAAATTTTAAAAATTTTAAATCCCTTGTAATAATTTAAACTGATAAGCTCATGAAATCAATTACTTTTCTGTAGCTTTTTTAGCACTGAAATGCATTTCACAGTGAGGCAATATTCATTCGGTATACGCTTAACTTTAGACTGTATTAATCCTAGCCATAACACAGCTTTTCAAACTCATTTCACTGAATAAATGAGTTCTCTTGAGTTCGATTTTCGAAGTTCAATTGCTTACCTTTTTAACTTCTAAAAATTCTTCATAATGGAGAAACTCAAAGCCAATCAATAATAACAAAAAAAAAAAAAAGAACTTCTAAGGGATACCAAACCTTAAGAGTCAGAAGATATCCCCACACAAAGAGGTAAAGATATAAAAGATAAATTACTGCTGAATCTCATGAACATGACCATTCCCACTTCTCTTCCACCTAGTTGATCTGAAAGGACCTAAACATAAAGGCTTAACCAGTGATCGCCTCCTCATTAGCTCTATAGGACTTGCTGCTTATGATGATTCCAAGAGCATAAACTGTACCTTGTTCTTTGCTGTATCTGCATCACATGATAGGCATACAAAAAATATTTGATAAATTAATTTAAGAATGTGCTCACCACAAGACCCCCTCCCTACCATTTTTATATTTAGCAGTGAATGCCTACAATATGCCAGGCATTGTGCTGGGGACACAGCAGTCAACAAGACACAGTACCTGCCTTCATGGAGCCTATAATCTGGTTTATACCATAACTGTGTTGATATCTATTCAAGCACTCATCACATTAGGTTATAATTGCTAACTCTTCAGACTGAATTTGTATAACCTATTTGGGCCTCCTTACTACTACTCAAATCAGGAAGAATCCACTATGACAGTGGTTTACAAACTTTGTTGCACAGTAGAATTACCTGGGTGAATGGGAGCTTTTAAAAATCCTGAGGCTCAGGCAAAAACCCATACCATTAAGTCCATTAAATCAGAATCTCATGGTGGGGGTGGGGCAAAGAATTTTTAAAAGCTCCCAGGTCATTCCAATATGCAGTCAAGTCTGGCTAGGCTAGTGAGCTATAACACACACTCAACATGCTCATTCCCACAGACATGTGGGCCTTCACAGATTACACTGTCTCCTTTGTCAAGAATATTCACCCTGGTTTTCTGTATTCATTTATCCTTCTAAAGTCTCACCTCCTTTTATTGAAGCTTTTGTGGATCATTCCTGTGTATGCTGAACTAAACTACCCGAGCTACAGCTTTTTTGAATTAGTCAGTTGTACCTTAATTTACACAATTCTATTCTTTTTCCTCCTCCAGAATCACACTTTACAACTACCTCTATTTACTAGTTATTTTGAGAATATCTAATATTCCTAAAGTATTTTTTTCAGCTAAGAAAGCATCTTATGCTTTTGTTTCCTAAAGCATTTAGCAAAGCACTGATCAGCAAATGGATAACCAGCAACCCAGGCATGCACCCAAACCAGCGACCCTTTGGTTCACAGGCCAGGACTCAATCCACTGAGCCACACCAGCCAGGGCCTTCTATGCGTGTATTTATTTCAACAGAAAAGTTTTAAAAATCTAAGCATCACTTAAAAAAATCCACATAACCATCTCCTTTTCCAAAATAACCTATTCCTTACAAGTTTACAAATTAAACTGATTTGACACCTTAAAAATATTAGAAAATGAACCATCTGTGAAATGGCCTGAAAATTAGTATTAAAAAAACTGAAGTTTCAAACCAGAGTTTGGTTAAGGTGGTAAAGAATACAGTAAGCCTGAGGACATACACCTAAAATAAATCTTATATTCCAATTCAGATTAAAAAGAAGAAGAGGGAGAAGGAGAAGTAGCTGCCGCCGCCATACCTGTACATCTAATCGCCATTCAAGGCTGTGGTAACTGGGGAAATCTGGTGCCAGTTCACTAAGAATAGTTCTGATCTCCTTTCTGTTGTCCAGATACAGCTGAAGCAACAATTTGTTCAATTCTTCAGAGAATCCCAGGACAAAAATAGAGTCTTGGAAATCCAGTTCAGAAATCTAAAATGAATTGAGTTTAAAAGAACATGAGAATTTACCTTTGTGTAGTAAATGCTAAAATGGTTGATATACACAAAAGAATATGAAATCTCCTAATTCTTTGGTCTAGTAAAAGAAAATACCATTTAGTTAAAGGTAATCCTTGCCCACTATTTTAAAATCTGAGTTTCCAATAAATAAAAATACTAATGTATAAAAAACAATTATTAAAATGACCAATTTTCTATCCTATTCTTCACCATCAAGCCAGATACTGCTAATATGCAAACACAAAGTACAATAAATCATTATGTTCTCCCTCCTCTTAGGATACATATTACCATATGTGGTTCAATAACATGCAGAATTACAGGCAACTCTAATTTATACTAACATGAGGTATTCATGACAACAGATTGTTATAGTTCTATTGATTAGGCATGGCTTCACCAAATCAATTATAAACCATTAACAACATTACTGAAATAAGTGGGTACCTGCCAGGGCTATGACGTAGGGTATGTGTGCCCTTCTTGAGGTTTGGCTAATCTTGTACAAGACAGTCTACAAGAGCCCTTACCATGAGCTTTGAGCTTTCAGTGAGGAGGTAGGTTAATCCTTCCACCCCATGCTGGACAGTGTCCCGACTCACATTGAGTTTTCCTGAAGAAAAAAAGTAAAAGTGAGCAAATACATTATTGTGTGATATTTATCCTTATATTCAAGAGTTTATATCCTTAAACTCTTATTTAAGAATAAATATTATCCATTATTCCATTTTTTTCAAACACTGTAATTAATAATAATAAGTTGGTAATAGCCTCCCATTCATTCTCCAGTCTCAGCCAAATGGTTGCAGTATTTTCCATCTTCTAATCTTTACAAAATGCAGACTCCTAGAGTCTAGTACCAGGAGCACGTCCTTCTCTTGAAGGCACTGTTCCTTCAAGCCTGACAGAAGGGGAACTCAACAGAGACTGACTTAATCCGAGAAACTGCCCCTGGTCCAGGGGGAAAAAACAATACTTCACCAAAAGATGTGTGTACAACTAATAATAACCACTTATTGGACTATTCCGCACATTTTGGTGAAAGTAAGTTTTATACTACCACCCTGGTAGATGGCAGTATGTCGATTTTACAAATGAAGAAATCGACTTAACAGAAACTTTAAAAATCTCACAGCTACTTAGGAAACCTGCAGGATGCGTGCCCTGACTGAAGAGCCCTTCTGGTTTTATTCTACAACAACGGGATCAAGACCGTCGGGGTCGCAAAAACCCCTTTCTCTCCAGCACCACAGAGAATGGCTAGTACTTCCACCGCGCAGCCTGCAGGGCCGCGCCCCTCCCCTTCTTACTGGCGGCGCCGTCGTAAATCTTAGGGTTCGAGCCTCGCCTCAGGAACTCCACCGCAATCCGACCAAACTCGGCGACCACTGCAACGGAAGCCAGGAGATGATGAGAAACGGGCGCTCCCTCTGCTTCCCTCCCCAGACCACAGAACACCACCTTCCGCTGCCCCATCCCCTGACCCGAGCTGTCCACTTGCGGCAGGAATGCCAGGTGCTCCTTGTGCTCCTCCGACAGGTCCAGCAGCATCTTCGCTTAGCGGCCAATATCACCCGCAGCGCTGACCCCGCCCTCCCCACTTCCGGATACCGAGTCCTAGCGCGAAAATGCTCCGACGCCTCAGCATCCCGAGCTTTGTGTTCCGCGCTGTGGTAGTCCTGCATTAGAGCGCCCCCCGGTGCGTGCTGGGTCGGGGAGTGGGGAGTCGGCATAGCAGATTCGTTCGTAAATCTCTTTCTCAGAAGTAGCTCCCTGGGTGCAAGGTGCTAGGATTCGTTGGAGACAAAAGATGCTTAAAAACCGACACGCCCCCTTCCGCTAAATTTACGATTATAATATCAGTAGCTAACAGTTATTAAGCACGGTGTTAGGGACTCTCCTTATCATTATTGTTCCTCTTAGAGATAAGGAAACTGGGAGGTCTGGCAACTGAAACTAAGTTTTATAGAACTATTAGTTTGCACAGAGCTCTGGTATATGTTATTTTGTTTAATGTATTTTATTTAATGTGTTCAGTAGCCGTTAACTTTTTTACAGATGAAGAATCAAAGCTCCAAAATGACCTAATAAGCCAGTGACAGAGCTGGGAGGAGGAGATTAGATTCCCTTGACCGCTTGTTCAAAAGCCCATCATTCTACGCAGCAGGCCAAAAGCTGAAGGTGTTTAACAAATTCTTTGAGTGATTATAAATTAGTATAAAGATGATGATGCCTGAAAGGGTTGATGTTTGCAGAGCTCAGAACAATTAATTTTTATGTGTTGCTTACTGTGTGAGAATTCTGGTTCTTTCCTCACCTGTCTCTCCTCACCTGCTGTGGTTCAAATACGAGACTACAGAATTGCTAATTGATAGGAACATTACTTTCCAAATCTCTCCTCTTTGTGTGTGGTGGGAAGAAACCTAGAGAGAGAGACACTTCTTATCTATCTTATGTCTAGGTACTGAGACATGTCTTTCTACACTGGGCAAAGTGAAAATTGGAAGTTCCTCAGCTGTGTACTGCGTCTACCTTGTCTCTCCCATCTGACTGAAATTGAAATTCTTTGTTTCCTCAGGGAAAGGAGCGCAGAAAGGCAAGTCCTTGAATTAACTTGTTATAGTAGTTAGATCTTGAAGAAGCATTTCCTGAGAGAGCGATTTTTAGACTGTAAGTTGCAGATCAGCAAAAATGGCATTATTTTGTGAAGAAGCCTTTATTTATACATTATTGAGAAAATGTCCATTATTTAAGATACTTTTCAGAAAAGGTAAAATCATGATTTTCCTACAAATACTCTGATGAACACACATCAAAGACTGTATTGAAATCATGAGTTAGTAAGGGAATCAGTAAGGGTACAGTAACAAATAGTTTCAGTGGATTCAAAGGACATACTCCAAAACAATACATATGAAGGAGGAACCCCTGAAATCAGAATTATCTTCTGGAGGGCGGGCCCCTTGTAATGCAGGCTTCCCTTGCCAGGTAAATGTTTTAGGAACCCATCTGTATCAGTGTACCAGTTGGTGTTGTTGTGAGAAGCTGCGTTTAGCTTCAGTGAATTTTTTTGAAGACTCTTTCAACATGTTTGCCCATTTTCATGATGGGTGATTTGTGAGAGCACCTGCCCACACTGTGCTGAGTGTTCAGCAGTTTTTGATCAAAAAATGGCATGGCCCTTGTGCCCTATCCTCTCTTACCCCAAGTGACTTTTTTGTTGTTTCCCTGAATGAAAGAAGTCCTCAAAGAGGAATGTTTTGCCGATGTGGAAGAGGTGCTACAGAAGACAGCAGAAGCACTAAAAAGTATCAAAATCAATGAGTTCAGAAACGGTTTTGAGCAGTGGAAAAAAACATCTCAATAGGAGTATGCCATCAAATGAAAATACAAATTTTTATAAATACATTCCATTTTTTCATGTCCCCCTTTCATAGACAGATGTTCCTCAACTTACGAGGGGGTATTGTCCCGATAAACCCACTTTAAATTGAACATTTCATAAGTCATTCTGAATGGGTGGCTCGTTTGGTTGCAGAGTCATCCAGTACACCAGAAGGTTGCAGGTTCTCTCTCCATCAGGGAACATACCCAGGTTGCAAGTTCCATTCCTAGTTGGAGCATGTATGGGAGGCAACTGATCGATGTTTCTCTCTCTATTTCTCTCTCTAAAATCAATAAAAAACATATCCTCGGGTGAAGATTATAAAATATATGTATATCACGCTCTGGCCAGTGTGGCTCGGTTAGGTGTCATTCTGCAGACTGAAGGGATATGGGTGTGATTCCCACTCAGGCCACGTGCCTGGGTTGCAGGTTTGGTTCCCAGTTGGAGCATGTGCAGGAGGCAACTGATCAGTGTGTCTCTCCCTCTCTTTCTCCCTCCCCCCTCTGGAACCAATAAAAGAAAAACATTTAAATAAAAAAATAAATATTATAAGTCAAAGTGCATTTTAAACACCTAACCTACCAAACATCATAACCTAGTTTAAGTGTTCTTAAACATGCTCAGAACACTTATGTTATGCAGTTGGGGAACTTATCTAACTCAAAGTTTATGTTATAATAAAGTTTTAAATATCTTATGTAATTAATTGAACACTGTATTGAAAGTGAAAAACAGAAGGGTTATATGGGTAGGCACCACTAAAACACTCAGACGTAAAAGTACACTGGGCCTGAAGAATATCTGAAGCCCTGAGCTGAAATGAAAATGTTGGCAACACAGTGTAGATAGAGTATTGGCTGTTTCCCCTTGCAATCTCACGGCTGACCGGGACCATCGCCAGAGAGCATCAGACTCTAGCCCAGGGCTGCGTATCGCTAGCCCAGGGAAAGATCAAAATTCAAAATTTGAAGTGTGGTTTCTATTGAATTCTTATCACTTTTTCACGACTGCAAAGTTGAAGAAATCAAAAGTCAAACCATTGTATATAAGGAACTGTCTGTATAGGGAATAGGAAGTGCTGAAATGAATTTTTAAAATATATTTTATTAATTATGCCATTATAGTTGTTCTATTTCCCCCCTTCATTCCCCTCCACCTTGCACACCCCTCCCCCACCATTCCCCCCTTTAGTTTATGACCACATGTCTCAAGTTCTTTAGATTCTATATTTCCCATACTATTCTTGCCCTCCCCCTATCCATTTTCTACCTACCATCTATGCTACTTATTTTCTGTACCTTCTCCCCCCTTCTCCTTCTCCCACTCCCCTGTTGCTAACCCTCCATGTGATCTTCATTTCTATGATTCTGCTCCTGATCTAGCTGTCCTCTTAGTTTGCTTTGGTTTTAGGTGTGGTTGTTAATAACTGTGAGTTTGCTGTCCTTTCACTGTTCATATTTTATCTTCTTTTTCTTAGATAAGTCCCTTTAACATTTCATATAATAAGGGTGTGGTGATTATGAACTTCTTGAACTTGACCTTATCTGAGAAGCACTTTATCTGTCCTTCCATTCTAAATGAAAGCTTTGCTGGATAGAGCAATCTTGGTTGTAGGTCTTTAGATTTCATGACTTGGAATACTTCTTTCCAGCCCCTTCTTGCCTGTAAGGTCTCTTTTGAGAAATCTGCTGACAGTCTTATGGGAACTCCTTTGTAGGTGACTGTCCCCTTATCTCTTGCTGCTTCTAGGATTCTCTCCTTCATTTTAATCTTGGGTTACTTAATGATGATGTGCCTTAGTGTGTTCCTTCTTGGGTCCAACTTCTTTGGGACTCTCTGAGCTTCCTGGATTTCCTGGAAGTCTATTTCCTTTGTCAGACTGGGGAAGTTCTCCTTTATTATTTGTTCAAATAAGTTTTCCACTGGTGGGTGTTCCTCTTCCCCTTCTGGTACCCCTATAATTTGGATGTTGGAATGTTTAAAGATGTCCTGAAGGTTCCTAAGCCTGTCCTCATTTTTTTGAATTCTTGTTTCTTCATCCTTTTCTGTTTGGTCATTTTTTCCCTCTTTCTGGTCTACTCCTTTGATTTGAGTCCCAGTTTCCTTTTCATTACGATTGGTTTCCTGTGTATTTCCATTCATTTCAATTAGTTTAGCCTTCATATGTTCCTGTAATTTGGGGCTAAAATCAACCAGTTCTGTGAGCATCCTGATCACCAGTGTTTTGAACTGTGCATCTGAAAGTTGGCGATTTCTTCATCAGGTAGATTTATTGGCTCTGGGGCTCTGAGTTGTTCCTGAGCTATGTTTTGATCTGTTCGTGCCTGTTATGTATGAGGAGCGGATCCTTAGTTGTTCACCAGGGTAGGGCTACCCAGGTTGCTGGTTTGTGATGCTGTATGTGGGGGCGGTGTCAGAGAGAGACAATCGCAGTTCACTCTGCCGCTTCCTGCCACTGGGGCCTGTGTGGTCCGTCTCACTGCTAGCTCCTTCACGGGTTTATCTGCACGCTAATGTGTGACCATGATTATCCCTCAGTGGGTCTGCCCGCTTCTCCACACCTGGGATCCGCCCACAGCTGCTGGCACACCTGGGTCTCAAGCCTGGGTTGGTCCAGTGGATCTTTCCTGCCCAACCCCACTCTGCTGCTGGTTCTGCCCCTCTTACCGGTTTGGCTGAAGGGTTCGTTTTTGTCAGACTTTCACGTAGTTCAATTTTCTGTGGTTTGGCTGTGTTTTTGTTGCTAAAACTTTGTTATTTTTAAACTTAGTTGTGCGAGAAGGTACAGTGCTTCCACCTATGCCTCCATCTTGGCAGAAGTCCGAATTTCTATAAATACAATATTATACTAATATGATATAGTCCTTCTTCCCTGTGATGAAGTGGGGGCAGGGGAGGTGAAGGTAGAAATATGAGCAGCAGAATGGGATGGCCAAAGAAGGGAGCCAAGAAGCCATGTTATAGCTGGTGGAAACCAGCCTGGAGTTAAAACTCCCTAGGCTAGCTTAGAGAGTGACTGCTATCAAATGTGATGTGGTTTAGAGGAAATTACCTGAGTTAAAAAAATCAAAGGTCTAGATTCCAGATCTGGCTCTGTTATTTACTAAGGGTAGGGCCACCAACACCTTGTTTTTATACTTTATCCAGTTAGCTTCTTCATTTGTAAAATAGTTATTTTAATGACTACACTTTTGTACCATGCA